AAGGAAGTTGTTAATAATCAACCACGAACCGTTGAAGAGTCAACGAGGTAAGCTCCTGCGTAAATATGCTGACCTTTTGGTACCCTTAATTCAATGTGTATGCTTTAATAAAGTTTCTCGTGCTTTCCTGTATGCCTTTTGTAATACTCCCACTTTTAAATTGAACACCGCTTTTACTCCTTTCTTCTCACGCTTAGGTCCAAGAGAAAGAAAACTTTGAGGCAAAGTAATATGAGACAAAAAAAGCAGCCACCTAGGCTAACTATTAACACCGAAATAACCGCTTCCATGGACGACAAGCAAATTAAAAGTGAATCGGACCATGATGTCAACGCTGGGCAGGATGATTTGATATTGGAGGAAGACGAGTTCATGGACTCGGAGGCGCCCAAAGAAGAGTCGAAAATACAAGGCTTGTCCGAAGTTTCTGAAGAGTGTAGTGATAATAATACGGTGGTGAAAATGGAAAGTGATGAACACGACGAAGAAATGCGAGAGTTTGAAAACTCGACACCAAAGGAGCAAGAAATAGCGAAGAGCGACGGTGATGACGACGGTGTTGAGGAGGATGAAGATGGTGGAGGTTCGTCACTTCTTACCGACTGCTGTTGCTTTTTATCCGAATGAATGAAATGTTTTCTTTGATAACGAAAACGTGATCATAATTGTTTTTTTCAATTTAGTTGCCCCACGTCGCACACTTGCTCCCCGAAGGGCAAGAATGAATACGGTATACAACAAACCTCGAGTGACTCAGGCGAGAAGGTCTTCCACGCGGAATGCTAAAATACCCCCTGCCACAAATGATTTCAAGGGAAGAGATGTTGTGTTCGTGGATCCCCTAGATGCCAAGGCCGATTTTTGGTGGCCGGCCATGATAGTTCCGAATGATGAGATCGATGAATCGATGGATGTTGACGACAAACTTGAAGAAAATTTGCTTGAGGGCAAGTTCCTTGTTAGGTATTTTGAAGACATGACATATTCGGTGGTGGAGGCCAGAGGGTTGAGACATTTTAAAATAGACGAAGGTCCGTATCTACAATTTTTAGATGTAGAGGGATTCTCCTCTCACATCGGAGTCCGAAGGGCCTTAAAGTGTATAAGAAACGGTGAGCCGTTGAAAAGTTTCAAGTGGGATTACTGGAAGAGACCAGTGGAAAATCCGGAGATGAATTCCTCAAAAAAAATAGATTCACCTGCGAAAAAATTAAAGAAAGCGACCTCCCCAACAAATACGGAAGCTAGTTTAGAATTGAACCCACCAACTCGGGGTCGGGGTCAAAAACACAGTCACAAGTCAATGAATGGTCCTCCATCGTCAAATGAGGTGGATTCACCGGCGGCTGATGAGGGTATGAACGTGGACAATGAGTTAATCATTCCCAATAAACGAAAATCCTCAGTTAGTACGAGCAGCCGACGAAATTCAAAGAGTATTTCCTCACGCAAGAATTCCACCACGATAAACACTGACGAAGAAGAGAAACCTGTACAGCATAACACGAGGAAAGCTCCGAAACGACGTCGTAGCAGCCTAAGTGAGAAACCCGAGGAAAAAAGACGCCGTAGCATTGCGAGCGATAAATCGGATAGATCAGATGAAAAAAATCGTCACATCAACAATAATAATAATAATAGTAATAGTAATAGTAATAGTAATAAATCTAATGAGAAGAGACGACGCAGTATAATGAGTGATAATTCCGAGAAATCTTCGGAGAAGCGTAGTCGCAATAGCCCGAGTGATAAGGCCGAGAGTATACACGATTCCTCTTCTGGTCATAGTCAAAATGATTGCAATTCAGCAGAGGATTCTGTGGATCACGAAGACCCCGGGGCTATTTTAGAAGAATTACCCAAAATTGCATCTGAGATTGTCGAGGAACCGATGGACATAGAGGTAGGAATATCATCGTTAGTAGATACGCCGAAAGAACATTGCGAAAAGTCGATTGAGATAATGGAGGAGGATGTACCCGCACCGTCGTCACGTAGCCTCTCGGTCAATGACTTGAGTGATGACATTCGAGATAAACTCTCGAAATACAACTTTGACGATCCTAATTTGGATAAAGAGGTCAAGGCGGCTCTGTATGAGGAAGGATTAAATGAATTAAAGAATGTCTGGAAGGAGTACCGAGAGATCAAGAAGGACATGAAGAAACTCGAAAATGAATTACGACTCAGAAAATTGGCGAAATTAAGAGGAACCAGTGTGGCATCCATTCGAGACGAAGATGCTGAAATGAATAACGGATGCGGTGACAGTGAAGAATATAGTGATTACGAAAATCACATTGTAAATGGGCACAACGTCGAGGAGGAGGAGGAGATGGATGTTGAAGAGGAGGAAGAGGAAGAAAAGGATGGCGAAGATGATGAGTATAAGGGCGAGGGAGATGAAGAACCCGAGGAAGAAGTGGTCGAGGAGACGCAAGTTATCACGAGAAGTGTGGCGAGAATGTCAATGGGAAAGCGCACGTTTGTAGTCGTGTAACTTCACTTATTTATAAAAAGTGTTCACCGGTGATCATGGATAGAATGCCTCACAGCAGGTCTAGAAAAATTCCCACCTACAAAAAAAAAAAGGTTTCGTTTTTATTTTGCTGCTGCTTAATTAAAAAAAAAAATCCGATTGTTGGGTTGAGTAATATAATTTTGCATCATCAAATGGGATACGATTTATTGTTTGTTTGCTTGTTTTGTGTAACATAAATTGATAAAGTCATTTTTTTTGACATGTCGCTTACGTGTCTGATTTTTTATACGCATCTATTTCCCAGACCCAAAGACGTAGCCAAACTAGGAATTTTTATCGTTGTCGAAGCAAAAAAATTCCCGATCGCTGAATATGTGGATTGTTCGTTCATTTGAAGACCTCAAATATTTTGCCGAACTACCTGTGTAGCAGTTTCCCACAAAAATCTAAGACGACACCTTCGTCCTTTGTTCACAGGGAAGCTCGCGTAACGCTGATGATTCTTTTATTCTCATCGTCACCATCACTTTGTACGCTTTGAAATATTTGGCGTCGATCTTTTCACCTAGTTTTTCAAGGCCATTCTTTTCATCATTGCACATTTGCCACAAACGAAGAGAAAGGTTCATTATCAAGGAATGCATACGCAAAAGTGATACATCAACAGTTCATCGATTTCATTATTGCCCGAATTGACCGAACTCCGAGTATGCTTTATAAGAATTTTTTTTTCATAAGTATATGCAAAATTTTTTCGCATAAAGTTATATATACAAGAATTTTACCAAAAAAATAAATAATAAAGCTACTAAATGATTAATAAGTTATAATTGAAATGGTTAAGGTACATAAATATCATAAATAAATATGGTAAGTAATACTGTATACGGTGTAGTTTTTTTTTTGTATATGTCGTATACGGTGATGAAAATTTCTTTTATTTTATTAAAAGAGTAAATGTTGATTACATATTACTTATTTAATATGAGATATAGTGGTACCCAAAATTTTTTGAAATTTTTTTTAAAAAAATTAAGAATTGTATTATTATTTAATAAATATTAATTTAAAAAATATATAAAAATGAAATATAAATCTTTCAGTATTAATAAATAATTATAATTAAAATATTTTTATTATTTATCATGAAAAACATATATAAAAACTTGAATTTTATGAAAATCAAGTCATAAAATTAATATAAAACATAAAAATTTTAATTAAAAACAATTACATATTTAAAATAATAATTGTATAATCTATAAATTAGTTATAAGCAAAAATTATTTTATAGTATTTATTTATTTATTTATATTTATATTTATATTTAATTTAAATAAGTAATATAATAATATTATTTTAAATAAATATTAGTTATTCAATATTTTAATATGTATAAATCTATTATATAATAATATCTATTTTTGTTATAAAAAAAATCAATTAATAATTAAAAAAAACTCTTTTTCACAAATCTTAAAATTCTTAAAAAAATTTTTTTTAATAATACTTAAAAATATTCAAAAAAATACTTAAAGAAAATATCAAAAAAAAAAATCTCATAATATTTTCTTGAAAATAAAGGAGGACAGACAACAGATATATTATGGATTCAAAAAGTATACTAACTCTTCTTTATTTATTTATTTTTTTTTTTTGAGTAGGTAAACACCATTTCTTTATTTATTTGTATATTATAAGATATACATTTGAAAAGAAACAATATCTCTTACGTGTGATTAGCAGTAAGTTTAATGCTAGCCTACCTACAGTAATTATTTAACTTCTACTAGAAAAGACATTTTAAAACTAGTATACTAATCAAATGATGCCGAGCAGCTA